TGTGGGTGTGAAGAAAAAGGAATTACATAGACAATCACACCCACACCCACCCCACTCAGCCATCACACCCCACACCCTCTATTTGGATCTACTTTCACCGTGCATAACAATTGCATGTGTAAAAACTCGTGAGAAATTATAGCTGACAATTTATGATTCAATAATCTAGGTTCTAAATTTTCACACTCACTTCGTGCATTCCAAATACGATGTTCTCTTAAAGAATATGAATTTATTAAATTAGATGAGAAGATTGCTGAATATTGTGCACTAAATCAATATTTCGCTTCTTTATTGAAACAACATGATGATGTCTTTCATATTATCCGTCCTGCAAGACCTATAATATTATTAATTTTCAATTTGAACCAAAAATACTTGGCAAAACTAACATAAAATATCTCGATATATTCAATAATGAAGTGTTACTAATATGTAACTATTAGAAATTGCAGTATCATCAATATTTCAAAAGAAATTATTTATTCGAATAGCTATTAGTAATCATAAAACTACACTTGGAGATTTTCATATTTTCCTTGATAGTCTCTTCAAAATGTATTGAATTAGAATTCAAACATATTCTAACCAAAGTAATTGAATAAATTTATTCTTTTATTTTTTCAATATCAATTAAATTAATGGTAATGAGAAATACAAAATTTGACTTTATGTTATAGCATATGTTCTAAAACTTTGAGATCCATTTTTCCGAATAAATAGAGAAATATTTTTTCACTAACTTTATTTAAATATCAACTGACTCTTGTAAATGTCCCTATGCACACTATAAAATAAATAAATGAAAGAAATATAACCTTTTATCGTGTGACATATTAGAGAAAGGAGAAAAATAAATAACAACATTTATTCGCTAATAATTTGGATTATAGAACAAGGGTGTGGATGTGGGTGTAGGTGTGGGTGTGGGTGTGCGTGTGGGTGTGGGTGTGCATGTGGGTTCTATTAAAGAAAAGATCCATACCCTCACCCTCACCCACACGCGCACCCCACCCACCACACCCACACCACCAAAATACATGATTTAAATCGATGGTCCATTAAGTACGTTTAACAGAACATCAATGTTGTCCGTCTACTTCGAAGTCATATCATTTATCATCTCGCAATACTTTAGTAAATGGAAAGGCATTTGTAAAATCCTCGTCTTTCATTGTATAACTATGTTGTATTGTGGGAAATTCTCGATTTTCCACTTCTCTTTTAAATGTAACCAATGCCTGCTGTATTGTATCGACCAGTTGACTATACTGTTTACAAAATTTTGGTATACGTAGCGGTAATAAGCCTAGCATATCATGATAGACAAGCACCTGTCCGCTACATCCAACACCAGCTCCAATACCGATCGTTGGAACGGTCACTTCTTGCGTAATATGTCTGGCTAATATTGCTGGCACACTTTCAATAACTATCATCGATACTCCACATTGTTGAACTTCTAGAGCATCATCCATAACTTTTTGTGCTGCTTCCACTGTCTTGCCTTGTACTTTAAAACCTCCGACAGTTGTAGATGTTTGTGGTGTCAGACCTATATGTCCCACTACAAGAATACCAGCATCAACAATAGCTTTAATTGCATCTTTAATCCGAACACCACCTTCCATTTTTACTGCATCAACACCACCTTCTTTTATGAATCGAATAGCATTTTTTACTGCCTCTGTTGGTGATGTTTCATAACTACCAAATGGCATATCACCAACGACAAACGATTGTTGCACCGTACTTGTAACAGCTTTACAATGATATATCATTTCATCCATTGTAACACTTGCTGTATGTTTTCTACCTAACATTACCATGCCTAAAGTGTCACCAACTAAGATCATATCAATACCGGCCATGTCCACATTGTAAGCACTCGAGTGGTCATAAGCTGTAACCATTGTAATGGGTATTTTTTCCTTATACTTTTTTTTTAAATCGAGTATAGTCGTTTTCTTTGTTGTTGTTGGTGATGTAAATTGACGAGTGGAATAGAATCGAGATGATGCAAATTCAGATGAAAGCCTTGTTTCAGTTTTACCACTAGACGTGTTCGACAATGCTTTACCTAACATACATAGTCTGCTGGTTGTGCGAAGTTTAAAAATTGATGGTATTTTCATATTATTGGTAATCAATAGCTTCTTTGAATTTTGCTAGTACACTAAAACGAGTTTATATTGATATGACTCGGATAACTTTAGATAAAAATTTGAGTTTCTTCCATTTTTTTCTCTAAAAAATTACTTCTTCAAATTTTGACACTTCTCAAAAACCATATCACAAGCACATACAAATCGAAACCTTGCTATGACAATGTCACAGTCTATCTTCATTCAAAGAAGATTCACTACGGGACAACCTACCGTCGTCGCAGAAAATCTTTGATTTCCAATTTTAATATTTCAAACGAAAGGTCTCACCGAATCATGTTCAAATCCAAAATATTAGACCATTTGGTTTTGTTTATGAAGAGTACGGGCTAAAACATTGATTTGGATCCTATTTTAGCCTCTAAAAATAGGCATGATAGTGTGCTTAATATGGTCTAATATTTTGGATTTGAACATGATTCGGTGAGACCTTTCGTTTGAAATACTAAAATCGGAAATCAAAGATTTTCTCCGATGGCGAAGGGTGGACCCATAGCAGACTCTCTCTTACTGCATGAACACCGTCTCCAATTCATTTATTTAGACTATTATGGTTGGATATCTTATGTAGTCTATAGCAATTAGTTGGCATTTTCCATGTGAAGATTATCATATTTCTAGCTTTTGTTAAACCTAAGAAAACGCATTTTAGCTGTATGACATGAGAAAAAAATTCAACCTGAATAGTAGAAACTTCAGGCGCTGCATGGCTGAGTGGTTATATGTGTGTAACACGTATTCACTAGTTACGGAGTTCAAACCTCGGTGACAACAGTCATGTAATGACCCTGAACAAGTCACTAATGTGCAGTTGTCTCGGATATCTCCATCCGTTAATATAGCGAATAAACATTCAATATATATGAAAACCCAACCATGGCATCCTCTTCGGGGATTTCGTGCCGGTCGCTAGTCCTGACTGAAAATGGAGCGTTGGACAGAAAGGAGTGCAGATGCCGCTGTTCAGAAAAAGAAAAAGACGATAGAAACCAACCATGAGCGAAGATAGTAGAAAACCGTAGCGGCTCGGACGTCGCCCGGGTGAACAAGGTTCGCGTCCTCTGTCGAGTAACCAGGGTAGAGTCGAAAAATTGGCTACTGGAAAATCAACAAAGATGAGTAATGAGAGAACAGGCACACAGAAAGTGAAGTTAGTCAAAACAATACTGACAGTGGGAACGTGGAACGTTCAGACATTATGGGCAACTGGAAAACTAGAGTTGCTAAGGAAGGAGATGAAGAATTTTAGGTACAATAAAATGGGAATTTCAGAAGTATGCTGGACAGACAAAGGCGAAACATCAAATGGAGACTTCATCTGGCCAGGAGAAGACCACTCACACTCAAGAGGTGTAGGACTGCTACTGAGTATAAGAGCTAGAAAAGCACTCATAGGATACAATCCAATCAGCTCACGAATTGTCACAGCTAGATTTAATGCAGCACCATTCAAAATCACAGTAATAGGTGCATGTGCACTAGCATCCGGGTCCTCAGATGACAAAATCGAACAGTTCTACAGCACGCTCGACGACGCAGTAATAAAAATACACAGAAATGGTAGTCATCATAACAGCGAACTGCAATGAAAAAGTTGGTAGCGATAATACAAACTGGAAACAGGTAATGGGAAGATATGGATATGGTGACAGAAATGAAAGAGGAGAGCGACTCTTAGAGTTCGCAACCACACACAATCTATACGTCTGCAACACGAGATTCCAGCAGAAACCCTCAGCGAAAATTGACTTAGATGTCACCAGGTGGTGTGGACAAAAATATGATTGACCTAATCCTCATGCAGCAAAGATGGAAATCATCGGTCATCAACTGTAAGACATTCCAGTGCTGACATCTGCTCAGACCACTCACTAGTACTGTGTAATATAAGGTTGTGACTCAAAAAGATGTACAACAAAGTACACCAAAGTGTAAGAACAGACTGTGCCAATAGGTCTATAATCTTATTTGATATCTTTTCTTTCTCAGTGCGTTCTTGTATGATCAAGGGTACATAGTGCTCACAACGTGTTACTCTTATCTATCATTGATTGAACCTTGTTCTCTTTCTATTATAATGTGCTTCTCATTCTATATCATCAGTCACACATATATTATGTGCATTGTTCTCACTTATGTATTCATACTCTATTGTTCATTTATATCTCTTCTCTCCTTGGCCTTGTCACTTGTGCACTCTTATATTGTAATCTCCTTGGCCTCATCACTTGTTCATTCTTACACTTTTCTCCTTGGTCTCATCATTTTTATTGTCATCATCTCTTATTCTACTTGTGTATATAAACGTGTGCTTTATATGTAAACGACACGATTGTATGATATGAAGAAATAGAATAAAGTGTAATACCATCAACACTAGTCTAACTTCTATCATTGATCGTCACATAACGATTAAATGATGGGAAGGGTTAGAATTAAGTGTATCATCACCGTCTCTCACCTTCACTAACATTCTTTCCACCTTCATCATCATTTTTTCGTTACACAGACGAGAATCAACTAAAGAACGAGAGAATAAGGCAATGTTACAGTAACAAACTAGCAAAAAGGATAGAAAAAATTGAGCCAGCAGATAATATAGATGAGTACGCGAAAATAATAGAAGATGCTATCAAAGAAGCAGCAGATGCAACCATACCTGCTAGGAAAACAACCAAGAAACCTTGGAAATCTGAAGAAACATTGAAACTAGCAGGTGAAAAACGAAAGCTGAAAGAGAGTAAAGATGATTCGAACCACAAGGCACAAAAATACAAAGACCTCTGCAATCGAATCAAGAAGGTAGCAAGGTAAGATACAGAACACTGGATACAACAGCAGTGCGAAGAAGTCAAAAAGAGCTTAGCAATTGGGAATAATAGTTCAGCATACAGCCTAATAAAAATGCTAGGAAAGAAATTTGCACCTCGAATAAATGTAATACGAGACCAAGGTGGCAATTTACTACAGTCTCAGGAAGAAATCACACAGATATGGACGAAATACTGTAATAGTCTACGCAAAGACGATGTAGGAGGCGATAACATGGTGAATGATCTTAATAAAATCACATCTGAGAACACAGAAGAACTACCGGACAGCTGTAATTCCAAGTAGAGAAAGCAATACGTACATTGAAAAGGAAGAAAACTCCTGGGTCAGATGGAATCACAGGAAAATGCTACAAGCGGGAGGTGAGCAGCTAGCACGACCACACAGTGGGGAGCTTTCGCATAAGCAGGCGGACATGCGGTTTTTTTGCTTAGGAATGGCTTTCATTTGACTATAAATGACAGTATATCGCTCCGAAAATCGTTTTTAAGAAAATAATAGGCTTTTTAAGAAAAAAAAATTTTCGAAAAATATGGCTCGGGGGACCTCAGCCTTTTTTTTCGAAAAATCTTTTTTTTTTGAAAAATATGTTAAGCTACATATCATTCGATGTAGTTTGATGCGCTGATTCCGAATATCACCTTAGTTTTTCTTCAAAATGTAATATAAATGCCTAAAACTGAATTTCCGGTCATACCAGCTAGTTTCGACCAAATTTTTCCCAAAAATGACTTCGACAAAAATGGCTCTTTTTATACATGGTCTGGTGCAGCTCGACGAGCTGATTCCAAATATCATCTTAGTTTTTCTTCAAAACGTAATATGGAAGCATAAAATCGGATTTTCGACCAAAAAGCATGAGTTTTTGGGAATCCTGTAGAATAGCCTAGGAAAAGTTTCACGAGTTCACGCTATTACCATAATTAGGATACATAGGCAGGAGTATCTGGTAAAAATTTCAGCTCGATCGGACGTTACCCCTTTGTAGGGTTTTTAATATACGGAACGGTAGGTTTTCGGGTAGGTTTTCGGCATCGAGGCTCCTGGTTTTCTACTCTATTTTAAATTAGATTACAATAATTTCTTTTTATCATAAAGTCCATAGGTAAACAAGTTTTTTGCGATATTGTTTGCTTGTGGAATATTGTGTTATATTGCCGAGCGGTTTGACTTTCTTTATTTATGCTGATTTCTGGGCCCAAGCCTTGGCTGGCTCTTTTCTTGGGCTCTATAAAACTTGGAGAACCGCTATTTTAGGAAATGATAGATCAGATATGCATGTGTCTATGCAAACGGTTAGATTCTGGGAAAGAAAATTTTCGCATATGTCCGCCTGGCTCCCCACTGTGGACCAATCCACAAACTATGCAATAAAGCGTAGTACGAAGGTACTATTTCAGAAGACTGGGGTAAGTCTATCCTAGTACCAATACCACAGAAAGGTGAGCTGAGTGAATGCGTGCACCATCGAACGATCTTGCTCATCAACCACATAGGAAAACTACTGTTAATCGTGCTATTGAACAGGCTCAAGCAACAACTGGAGCCTTAGCTCTCGGAAGAACAAGCAGGATTCAGAAAAGACAGAAGTTCAATATACCAAATCCTAACTGTCAGATTAATAGCAGAAATGGCAAAGCGACAAGAAAATAAGATATAGAACTGCTTCATAGACTTTCAAAGGGCATTCGACACAATCAAAGACAAAGTGATATGGGCGGTACTAAGGTCATACGGTATAGAGGAGAAGACGGTGGCTCTGCTGTAGAATATACACGAAAAAGCCCAGTCAGCAGTACGAATTGGAAGAAACCATGAGAAATGGTTCCATAAAGATATAGGAACCTGACAAGGAGACCCTCTATCACCGCTACTATTCATCGCATATATCGAACGAGCGATGGACCATGTGAAATAAACTGATTGTAGCGTCAACTTCAGTGGAATACGAGTGAACAACCTAAGATTTGCAGATGAAATCGACCTCATAGATGAAAACTGTAGTTCCCTACAGAGACAGTTTGAGGCAACTAGAATAGCCGCAGAACAAGCAGGGCTGATTGTGAATACAGCCAAAATGGAGACAATGGTTTTCGATGAAAGAAACATAGAGCAAGCAATACAAATAGCAGGAAAGA